TCTTTGCGTTTTCGGGGCTCTGGGGGGCCCAGTTCCTCGAGGAAGTCTCGAGGAAGTGGCGTTTCCTCGAGGAAGTGGCGACCCCCCTAGTGGTGACCCCCCTTTGCACTGCCCCAATTTCTAGCAACACGCGATCCAGCGCCGATCCGAAAAGTCCGCGCGGAAATCCGAAACTTCACGTTCGTTTCATGATTTGGTCCTCGATGCGTGTTCCCTCGGCGGAATTGTTTGCCCGCGGAAATCGGCGGCGAGCCCAGGGGGGGAACTGAGAGGGGACAAGCCTTCTCAGAAGCCGGCGGGGCTTCTCAGAAGCTTTCGCGCCTCCTGAATGGCCGCTTCTGTCTTCGGAGAAGAAGTGGGCCATGTGTCAGAAGGCCAGAGGCCTTCCGCGCCTTCTAACAAGGCCCACTCCCTCTGGCTTCCCCCCTGGGCTCGCCGCCGGGAGGAGGGTACGACACAGCCCAGCGGTCGGTACGGTCCGGACGGCTGCAGCAAGAAGCGGAGCGAAGACCGACGGCAGTTGCTGCCCATGCTGGACCGGGCCCGCCGTCGACCTCGCCGCAGGCGTTGCCGTCGGAGGCAAGAGGTGGCCTGCCCAACGGCGGCCGCTGGCCTCGTTGGAAAACATGTGACTGCGGGCATAGCTTATGATGCTCCAACCTATGCTAGTCTTGATCGCCAGGAAGAAGTTTGAGCACCAGAAAAAAGTACCGGAACTCGAGGGTGTTCACGTGTCGAGCCCTGGGAGACACTCGCCCGACACTGTTTCGACACTCTTTCGACACTCTTTCGACACTTTTCCGGGTGCTCGAAATTATTTCTGGCATGGGGCCCGTTAGTACGATGGGAGCAATATAATGGAGGATGACGATTAATAAATGACTGGGGGTCGTGCTCACGCGGCGGCGCCCGGGATGACGAGTAGAAAGAACCGGCCGCGGGCCGGAACATGATTGTTTCAATGGTTCTCGTCCCGTCAGAAAATCGTGCAGAATTGGCAGAAAGCGATGTTTGAATCGCTTTCTCCCATTCTCTATCAATCGTCCTCCCGCATTAAGGCATGGTGCCCATCATTGTCTTACCCATGTCGGGCGTGGCGAGGGGGGCGCCCCTCGGTCATCTCCGCGCCGGCGGGGGTCCCGGCACGTGCACGGCCCCGCTCGATCCTGACCTCCAGGAAGCCGGGAGGGCATCCCGTGGCCGGCCCGGGCGAGGTCAGGATGCGCATGCGCCCGCATGTCTTTCCAGCGCTGTGCGGCAGTGATGAGGAGGAGGAGGAGCAGGAGGAGGAGGAGGAGGAGCAGGAGGAGCAGGAGGAGGATGAGCAGCAGGACCAGGCGTTGCCATCATGGCACTCGCTGCCATCATGGCGGTCCTCCCTCCACGTCTGTCGTTTCACCCTTCTCTGATCGTGTGCCACGATCGCGCTTCACCGTTCTTCAGCGCGGCTGCGAGCGAGCAGCGTTGTTTAGTCAGTTGTCCGTTTGATGTGGCAGCGCTTCCCTTTAGATGCGCAGTCCTACATTTTTTTCAAGGCACTTCGGCCGCCGGCTGGCCGCACCTTGCAGTACCCCGCGCGGTGCACGATGTTGGACGCAGGCCTTGCTCAATGCAGGACGCAGGCCCTGCTTTCGCGTTGCTCGGCGGCGACCGAGGGGGGGAAGTGAGAAGGAGAAGGCCTTCTCAGAAAATTCGGAAGTCCCCTGGCCTTCTGGGAAGTTTTCTGAGCCTTCTCCGAAGACAAAAGAAAAACTCCTCGGAAGGCGCGAGGGCGTCTGAGAAGTCCCGCTGCCCTCCGAGGAGACCTTCTCCTTCTCGCTTCCCCCCCCGCTCGCCGCCGAGCTGCAGCAGCGCGGCGCGTACTTTTTTTCCGCACGCCCGGTCGTCGGAAGCGGGGCGCCGTTGCCACGAGAGCAAGAAGTTGTGCGCCGCCCTTCTCCACGGGGCCACATGCGAACCCCACCCCCCACCCCCCACGAGTTCTCAGAGGGATGGTGGGCTTCACTTCGCTCACCCTCCCCCTCAGAAATCCCTAGCGAAGTGAAACCCAGCCTCTCCCTCAGAGCGCAGTGAACCCCACCCCAGGCATGGTACGGTTCTCCCGAGCGAAGTGAACCCCGCCCCCCCCCTCACAGAAATCGTGGGGGGGGGGGTCGGGTTCGCATGTGGCCCCCTATCTTCGCCCCCGTCCGCTCGCTCGCTCGCTCAGAGGGAGGGTGGGGTTCACTTCGCCTCCCTCCCCCTCAGAAATCGTGGGGTGTGGGGGGGTCGGGTTCGCATGTGGCCCCCTATCCTCGCCGCCCTCCGCTCGCTCGCTCGGCCCCCCCCCCCCGCTCGGGCGAGGCGCGGGCCTCGCCTTTCCCACACCCTCTGCTCGCTTTTATCGCCCTCCTCCTCCTCCTCTTCCTCCTCCTCCTCCTCCTCCTCCTCCTCCTCCTCCTCCTCCTCTCTTCGCCACGCAGAGGTCTTCTGGGAGGTCTGCTGCCACACGCGCGAAGGGCCCGAGGCTTCCCTTCGCAAATCGCCGGCGGACACAAGGCAGCCCGCACGCAAGAGCGCACGCAAAAGCACCTCCCGTTCTATGGATGGGAGCGCTTTTGCCAGTGAGAGTCCGACCCCTTGTCTTAAGTCGGGCAAGTCCCAGAACGGGAGTGTTCGACTATGTTTGATTACGTTTGAGACTATTGTTCAGCTTCTGCCCAAAATCCGCCTGTAGGAGGACATGCCCGACCTAGCCTTGTCCCCTCGCACTCCTCCCCCCCGCGAATCGGGCGCTGCCAGATGCGACCCTTGCCTGAGGCGAGCCTGGCTCGTCCAATCATGAGATCCGGAGGTCTCATAAGGGGGGGGCAAAACGGCACGGGAGAGAGGCACCATTCGTCAAGACCCCCAGCCTCGAATTTCTTTCACAAGTTGGACCCCAGATGTCCCGACCAGTTCAATTGGGCCGTTTCTTTTCCCGAGTCGTTGTTTGACGGCCCTGGAGTCCAGCGCGGAGCCTCAGAGGGGGAAATATTGCATAAACCGTCCGTCGCAATTTGTTGTTCGACGCGAAGAAATGCGGGAAGGGCCTTAATGACAACACTACCACAAGAACCCCCGACGCCCTCATCCTGTGGCATTTCTAGCCCTGGGTCGATCAATGAGGGTCACAGGGCCCGAAACCCATGCGAAAACACCCAGTGTGAAAAAAGTGCAACGCCAAAATCTGGAGACCCTTAAGGGCCAGTCTGACTTTCCCCACACCTCTACAGAAGGCTTGACTATGATCGAATAGTTTTTGTGAGGTAGAGCTGGGCAAACCGAGGCAAGTCAGCGCAATTCGATGGGAATCCACGTGCGGTAGGGGACTTTGGGGTAGCGTGTCCCTCCGCCAGTTCTGGCCCGCCGCGTTTCGGCGCGACACGCCATCCACTTCCTGGCCCCGCAGCGCCAACGCCTCGAGCGTTTCCGAGCCCCCCGCCCCGCGGAGCGGAGCGACGCACGCTCCGCGCCTGCAGAGGGGACAGCGTGTCGCCGGGGCCGCCGGGGCGACACGCCAAGCAAGAGCCCCCGACCGTGGCAGTGTGCACATCCAGAGATCTCCAGACAGCTCCGGGATCCTGACCGCCACGTTCGGCGACCGGGCCGGCCTTTCAAGCGCTGGTTGGAGACGACCGAGAAATTCTTGATCTTCAGGAACTGAGGGCGCCGAGGCGCCCCCGCGCCGCCCGTCTCGGGACGGCCTCCGGGCCGATGGTGCGAGTCTCCAGACAGCTCTGGCGACATCGTGGAAGCCCCAAGCGAGAGTCGGGGAGCAGCAGAAGCAGCTATGGCCCTCTCCTCCAGCAGCGTGTCGCCGGGGCCGCCCCGGGGCGACACGCAAAGCAAGAGCCCCCGACCGTGACGGTGTGCAGATCCAGAGATCCCCAGACAGCTCTGGCGACATCGTGGAAGCTCCAAGCGAGAGTCGAGGAGCAGCAGAAGCAGCCATGGCCCTCTCCTCCAGCGTCGCAGCCTCTTCGCGGCACGGGGCCCCGTCGAGCTCGGCCCCTCCCGCGGGGGCCAGCTTTTCATCCCAAGCCGTGGCTCCGTAGGCTTGCCAAGTGGGGTCGGAGGAACGCGCCGCATCGCAGGGGCATCGGCGATGCCGCTCGATGTGGAGCCCGGTCTGAAGTCGGGCATGTCCCTGTACAGGAGGAGAATTCAAACATAGTTTTAAATAATTAATATGGGGAACGATGTTTTAACTACATAGCACCCCGCAATTGCGGATAAGAGTGAGGGGGCGGGCGCGGGCGACGCGGACGTCGTCGAGCCGGCGGACCTCGTGGCCCCCACCTTCCCTGTCGATGGCGCTTTCCTCCTCCTCCTCCTCCTCGTGCTCCTCCTCCTCCTCCTCCTCCTCCTCCTCCTCCTCCTCCTCCTCTTCCTCGTCCTCGTCCTCGTCGTCATCGTCATCCTCCTCCTCCACCTCGTCCTCCTCTTCTTCCTCGTCCTCCCTCCCCCCCTATCAGTGGAGCGTGCCTTCCACGGATCTTCAGCCTTTCACCTCGAGAAATCCTCACAGCCTCTGGGAGCTGGTCCTCTTCCCCTCTAGGAGCTGGTCCTCAGGGCTGTGCCAGTAGGCGGAGATGTCGAGCTCGAAGAGCTTGATATGCAGCAGAAACGATGAGAGAAACTTGCTTTCTATCTCGAGCGGTCCCCCTGAGCTTCGGACCGATGAATCAAAATCACCAAAAAGGGCCTCTTGGCCCGGCTATAAGCCGGACGGCTACGGACAGTAAAACAGAGCACGTGCGGGTGGTTGCACATGGGTTCGAGAGCTCCGTGGACCCGAACAGGACGGAAACGGGGTCTGGAGCTCTGGTCACAAAGAACCCTAGAAATCTATCTGAGATTCACATGCCCCGAACCATCTGTACGGCCGGCTGTTTAAATGTTATCGTTATTTCACGCTCAGGGGGGAGTGAGAAAGAACTGCTGTACACACATAGAATATTCCCCTTAGGTGGTGTAGGCTACTGCACAGAGGTAGCATCATGTCTCATCACGCTCACCGCTTCCGGGAGTCGGAAGTCCTGGGGAATATCTATCTCCTCCTCGATCTCCAAATCCTCTGGGTACAACTGCCAGGCATCATCGTCATCGACTGCAAAATATGTAGCCTGGTCTAGTGTCTGCAGTCCTCGTTGTTTCCTCTGCTTCTCGGAGATGAAGTTAGCATCGTATATCAGCTTCCATGTACCTCGCTGTAGCCACAGGTTGTAGCTGGCACGAGCCTTCTCCGAGTTCTTGGTCATACAATCGCTCAGCTGCGCACCGCTGTGACACCACCGCAGGGATGTCGACGTGGCGGCCATGCCGCGCTTGAGGGCCAGGGCCTCCAGCGCGCTCCTCTTGTCTTTCATGCCGAGGGCGCTGCTCTCTGACCGATCCAGGGCATCGAACACGCCGCGGCAGTCCAGGACCAGGGCACCAGGAATCTTCGCACAGCTCGAAGTCCACTGCTTCAGAGGCGCTGGTCCCAACAGGATCTCGCTCAGCAGCAGCCTGCAGAACTCCAGTTCCTCTTGAGCTTCACTGGCGGCCTGTACTTCGGCCGCACTCGAGCTCCGACACACCCTCGGCAACTTTGCAGATGCCCAGGCCAGCAGAGAGATCGGCGCCTCTCGGTTCTGCATCAAGGTATAATCTGTCAGAAAAATCAAGAAACCACCTTGTGAAGAACCATCCCGTCGAACATTCCAGGCTGCGTCCGAATAGCCGACCACACACGGATTCGCATGCTTCTCCATGATGAGCTCCTTGGTCGCCTCGAACTTGGTGCGCCTGATGAGCTTGTTGGCCTGCAGGAGAGTATTCACTGTTGTGGAGTTACTGTATGCCAGCAGCAGTGACAGTTCTGCCCCGATGAGGGGCACGCCCTGCGTAGCCAACCACATGAGCTGACCAAAGGCAGCTCGCAGGCGGGTAGCTTCTGACGATGTCACCGGCTGCTCGGGATCGCGACGTCGATGTGCGGGAATATCTATCTCCATGAGCTCCTGGGCGTAGTCAATCATGGTCAGATGAATACGGCCCCACGACTTTGTGCGTCCATCATATTCTTGTCGGATCCGCGTCCCACATTGAACAAAATCCTGGGTCTCCCAGCTTCCCCACTCATAGGCTTGATGGAGCTGCTGCAGGGCGTCCACTGCAAAGTCCGAGTGCTGGTCAATCGCAATCATGAAGTCGTCCACGTGGGCTACGGCCAGACCTCTGAGCTGTCCTCCAGGTTCTCGTAAACACCACAGGCAAGGTTCGGTCGTAGACTCCACCCAGCCGAGCTTGGCCATATCCCTGCGAACTCTTGTCCACCATCTGCGAGGAGCGTTCACCAGACCGTAGACCGCCTTCTTGAGTTTGACACATTGGTGATGCTCGAGTCGCATGGCTTCCCTGAGTTCCTTGACGGGTTCGGCCAGGACATTTCGATCTTCTTCTCCGAGGTCGCCTTGTAGGAAAGCTGCCTTGACGTCGCCCTTGAAGACCTGAAAGCCCATCGAGGCGGAGACGCCCAGGAAAGCTTGGCGAGCTCGACGACTGCATGTGGGGGAAGCGGTCTTGATCCGCCCAAGTCCCGGATCGGTAAAGCCAAGAACCACCAACCGAGCCTTGAGGTCGCCAGTCTCCTTCCTTGTAATGACCCATCTCATCTTCATCAGAGCACCTGGGTGTACTCCAGCACGACTGGCCGCCTCGCAAACTCGATACTTGAGGAACGACTTGATCTCGTTACCCTTCGCGATCGGGAGCTTCTCACGGTCCTCTGCCGTGAGGTTCTTGAGCTTCACCTCGACCTTGTTCTGTTTGACCATCGCAGCGAGGGCCTTGTCAGGCCTCCGGCTGAGTTGATCCACATCCGACTCCTCCAGCGCGAAACCGATCATGATCGCGAGGTTCGGCTCGTCCTCGCCCACGAAGCCCACCAGGTCGGAAGCCTTCGTCTTCTGATCATACTCCCAGGGTGAGGTCCAACTCGCACTGCTCTCAGACTCGGGATCGGCACGACCGAGCTCGGGCATGACAAGTGTCGGTACTTTCTGGCACATATGGCTCAAGTATCCTGCGAAGTCGGCTCGATGTCTCTTGGGTTCTGGATCTCCAGGAGGCTCTTGGCTGGCTTCTCGCTTGTTGTAACCTTCTGGTGGTGGTTCGCTCTCGTCGATCTGGTCGCTGGTCGGTGTCGGTGCTGGTTCAGCTGGATTCTGTGCGGGCATCGGAGGCGGTGTGGCCTCAGGTGTGGCCCCTTCGTGGTCACTCGAGCCCGACCCCGCTTCTCCTTCGTGATCGTCAGGTTGAGGAAATGCTGTACTTCTGGGAGTTGTCGTCCTGGGTGGGTCCGGTACTTCACCATTCTCTCCTTCTGGAATATCGCCCCATTCTCCCGGACCAGGCTGATCCACCACATCATCGTAAGCACCCTTCGTCAACTCCTGCAGAATCTTCTTGAAGTGGTCGGAGCTCCCTGCGGAGATGCTCTCCAGGGTCTGCTCCGCTTTCGTAGTCGTGCGGAGGTGAGCGGCCGCTGCTCGTACAAGACGATCACCGTCAACAAGCCAGACAACTCCTCGTCGCACCGCAACTCCATTCTTCATCTCGCGCTCCTGCATCAAGACAGTGGCGGGACCGCGAAATCGACCAGCTATACCTGGCCGAGTCTTGTGGCTGTTACCTTTCGCACCTCGCCAGTAGTGTGCCTTCTCACCAGGCTCCCATGTCTTGAACGGCCTCGTCTTGGCCAGCAGAGCGCGCTTCGTCTTCTCCGACAGGTAGTGGTCCACGCACGCCTTGTAAGCCGCCGCCTTGATGCGCGTGACCTCCTGGAAATGCTTGTCCACCACATTGGCGCTCAGGACTGAAGGATTCTCCACTTGCTCTAAGCCCTGCCCCGACGGGGTACGGCCCATCATGAGCATCATCGGGCTGTAGCCTTGGCGTCGCATCAGGTCGTTGTTAGCCACGCAAGCCCAGCGAAAGATGTCCGCGGGCTCGGTGTCATCTGGTAGCTCCCAGGCGAGGCGAGTGGCGATCTCCTTGATCGTCTCGATGCATCTTTCGATCACTCCCATTCGCCAGTGAGCTTCTCCGGGTTCTGGTCTCCACTCCATGCCGTTACCCGAGACCCAGGCGCGCTGCTCGACCTGCCTGAAGCAACCTTCGGGATCTGTCCTGAAGACCTCCGGCTTGCCGTAGTGGTGGATCCAGTCCTTCAGCACTACCTCCTGCATCTCCTTCGCGGTGGTGTTGCCACAATGCTCCTCGACACCCTTCTGACAGTGAATCGATGTCTGGGTAAAACGGCTGCCATAATCTGCACAGAGGGTCCCCCGAACTTGGTAGGCTCGTCGAGGATGTGTCCAATAGAAGTTGTCGCAACCCATTTCAGTACCAGGAGCGGGTAAAGTCGGTTCTGAGCTGGCAATAGGTCGCATCTGAAACCTTTGAGCTGCCTTACAGGCTGGACACTCGTAGTGGCTGCAAAGATCAATGAGCTTCTGGTCCGCCTTGCGAGATCTGAGGGCGGCGCTGGCCGTGCTCATACTGCAGTGTCCGAAATTCCGATGGATATGTGCGATGATGGCCTCCAGCTCTCGCAGCTCTGTCTTGGTACAGCTCAAGACACTCTTTGGCAGTGGCAGTCTGAGATTGCCCACCGACTGCTCTTGACCTCCCGACTCGGGCGTCGGCAGGGGCGCCTCGCCTTCTGGAGGACCTTGAGCATCTCCAGGGTCGTCAGGATCAGGAGCTGGTACTGGTCCGTCTGCTCTTTCTCCTTGACCTTCAGGAGCTGTGGGCTCCAGCGTTGGACGCTTCGGCAGCGGCGGTGGTGGCCCCTCAGAGGCGGGCCGCTTCTCCCGCAATCGCCTGTAGCCCGCTGCACACAGTTCGTCGTCCAGCTCGTTGTGGGCCTGCACCAGATAGGCGAGGGCCTCGTCCGAGGTGGCCCTGGTCATGAAGTGCTGGGCGATCCTCCTGCACATGTTCACGGGATAATTCGCTGAAAGAGCCACTCTCGTGCCGCCCTCCAGCGGCATATGCAGATGTAGGTCTGGACAAATCCTCCCAACCTTCTTCTCGAACTGCGGGTCTGTGGTCGCGATGTGCCAGTCCTTGCGTATGAGGAGACCGTTCTGCTCGTCTCTCATATCATACATGCACCCGTGAATCCTGCAGCCGTGCATGGACTCCTTGAGCTCCTTGAAGTTGCCTGTCCAAGACCTGCAGCGTCCTGACTGCTCAAGGTATATGTCACAGAAACCCTCGTTCAGCAGCTGACCGATAGCCCATTTGACGTTCCTCTGGATACGTCTGGTCTTGATCAGCTTCTTCTCTGACTCCGCCGTTACGGGGTTCAGATTCTGCCATGGGCACTCTGCTCCGCACGGTGGGGAAAACCAAACTCTTCGAGGCCTCTTGACCCGCAGCACCTTCACGAGCTTCTCTGCACCAGACCTGGTGGAAAAGTCATACCCGTTCCAGTTGCTGAATCTCTCGGCCTTGCCTCCTTGCTCGATCATCGCGTGCGTGAGCCTGGAGTCGGACACGCAGGCCACTTCTGCGAGGTCCAGCCTACCATAGGTCTCGGCTGCCTCCCAGGCGGTGCCCGGCATCTTTCCCAGAGCTGTCGTCGCCGCGATCAGCGCTCCAAGCACACAGCTCTTCACACGAGATGAAAGTCTCCGGCTGGCCTCGGCATTCCCGACGGGGTCGGCAGATCCTCTGGCCTCGGCATTCCTGACGGCTTCGGCAGATCCTCCGGTACGGGAATCGACTCGCCCTTGGGCATCTGGCCGACGCCCTGCCTCTTGCTCGGCCTGGTCCTGTCGTCCGCCTCCGGCTGGTCCGTCGGCGTGTCGATGAGGCCCTTCTGGAGAATCTCCTGCGCGAGGCGCTGCTGCTCCTCCAGGCGGATCTTGATCCTCTCGCTCTCGATGATCTGCTGCACCTCCGTGTCCGTGAGCTTCCGAATCACCTCGGCCGACAGGCGCTCGGGCAGCTTCTTGGGAGCCCCTGGAGGGGTCGGTGGAGGCCTTGACGTAGGCGCCGTTGTCGCCGTCATGGCCTCGCTGTCCGAGGAGCTCGACTGGTTTACCATGGGCGACGCGGGCTGGGCCGTACCCGTGGTCTCCAGGCGGTTGATGTACTGTCGGGAGCGCACACACTGGAAGAGCATCTGGTCGCTTGTCTTCGCGAAGTGGTGCTTGAACAGGACCTCCCCACAGTCTCTGCACTTGATCAGGCCCACGAAATGGTTGGACCCCTGACGTGTCTGATCCCGATGGGCGCATCTCGGCATCGGCCTGGAACGCGCTCTCGATCTGAGACCTGCTTCGTTGAACTTCTTGAGCCAAAACGGTTCTCGAACACAAGGATCTTGGGTAGATAGTAAGACCGACCCATCTCGAATGTTCGACTTGCCGAGCTGTTTTATTCGGTAGGCTCTCGATGATCATCATAGGTTCCCCGTCCTCTCGAATCATATGAGTGCGTCGTTTCCCCGATAAGCTGGCTAGACTACGAGCTTCACACCTTTGAAAACGAACCCGATGATGAACCCGAACTAGAGCGTGTGAGCAGTCGACCCATATATCCCGACTCACTCTCGCACCTTCTTTCCAGTCAGCCCGTTCCCAGAGATACCCAAGAATAGGTTGTAGCATAGACTGGCTTAGCTCGGGGTAGGGGCCCATGATGGAGACACTGGCCTCGAGCAACTTCTGGAGCATCTGGGGGAGCTCATTGGCGTCTTTGGGGCCCCTGGTGGCGACAGACTTGGATGACGACTTTTCCACAGTCTCATTGCCGCGACCAGGGTGCTGTCCCTATTCGCTGCCTGCGCTCGAGGCCTCGTTGCCCAGAGCAGTAAGATTCAGTGCCAAGTGCCCTGACGGGAGCACTCTCGTGGGGATCTCACGCTTGAACCGATGGGAGTACACGGTGTTGTGGAAGTAATCGATCACGAGCCCGTACTTCTTCAGCATATCTATTCCCAGTAGCACGGGAGACTGACGGTCCAGCACGTAGATGCTCACCGCCTCGTCGTTCAGGACCTTCACATTGAAGGTCACCCGTGAGGGCGCGTCGGCCCGGTCGCCTCCAGCAAACGAAAATCCCAGACTCTTGTCCGGGCTGACCTCCATGGGCTCGCTTAGTCGCTCGTTCACGTACTCTAGCTGCTCCACGCCTCCAACAGACCTGGACGCTCCACCGTCCAGGAGCGCGTAGCCCTTGCAGTCGTCCATGCTGAAGGCCACGAACTCGTCCAGCCCTTCCTCGTCGCCGTCCTTGGACTCGCCCTCGTCGTTGACCGTGCCGATGAACACGTCCTGGACGTCCTCGAACTCGACCTTCTTGCAGTAGCCGTCGGCCGCGCCGACGAAGCTGTTGAAAGCCCGGCGCCTCTCCCCTTGGGCGCCGCCGTTGCCCCGATTGGGGCAGTCCCTTGCCTTGTGGCCCGGCTCGCCGCAGGGCAGGCAAGCCCCCTTGAACTTGTCGTTGGTCCCCGAGTTCGAGTCCTTCGGAGGTGCTGCTGGACGCTTCTGACTCTGACCACGACCCTTGCCGCGGCCTGCCACGCCGCCTCGATCCTTGCCCTTGCCCTTGCGAGGTGGCCCGCCCCGGCTCACTGCCCGTCCGCGTCCAGCTCCAGCGGCGGGTTGAGTCGGGAGCGCGTCGTAGGCACCCAGGCCTACCACTGGAAAGTAGCCCCTGGCGTTCTTGACCTCGTTGATCAGCTTCCTCGCCTCCACGAACGTCCTCGAAGCCGCGAAGGCCGTCTCCGTCCACTCGTTCGTCTCGTGAGTCGAGGCCGCCGCTGCCAGCGCATCCTCTCCTTGCTCCTCGTCTCCTATGGGCTCTTCACCGAGCGCGGCAGTCATCAGGTCTTCGGCTGCCGTCATCGCTGACTCCGTGATCTCCGCCGCCTCCTCGAACCCGTCGATGTACGCCTCGTCGTAGACCTCCTCGGCGTAGGCGGCAAGCTCGTCGGCGTCGTCGAAGACCGCGTGAGCGCCCTTTCTGGCTTTGTATCCCTTCTGCTTGTCCCGCGATGCCAGTTGCTCCTCCGACCACTGCTCAGCCAGTGCCTTCTTCACGTCCTGATATAGGTACGAGTTGCCCTTGGGGCCGCTGGTCGCCAGCACCGCGGCCTGCTCTGACGGATCTAGGCCCGTCCCGTCCAGCAGGATCAGCCCTAAGATGAATTCGTGCATGAACCCTTGGGCTGGAATCTCATCACAGACTGCGTGGAGGGCCTTCCCAATCTTGCTCAGGTGGATGTCGAAACGAGAGACCCATCGCTTCGGACCCTCACCTGGATGCCGATACACTCCACGCATCAACTCTCTCCACTTGGACACAGCCTCCTGCATCGTGACCGTGCCTCGAACTCCCTTGAGTGCCTCCACCACCTTTTCAGCTCCGTCTTCCTTGACAAGGTCATCGAGCGACACCTTCTTCGCCTCGAACCACTGCTGCGAGTCCTCGTCCATCGCCTGAACCAGGCGCGGGCCAAGGTAGATTCTGTCATCCTTCTTCGTGCCCAGGACCCACAGCTTTACTTTCTCCTCGAAACTCTCTAAAGTGGAGGCCTCACCATTCCACACAGGAATCTTGATGCCGGACTGCTGCTCATTCGCCATCACGATTTGGAGATCGACCTCGAAGTGGGCTGCCACTTCGTCGCGCTACCAATGTCAGTGGAGCGTGCCTTCCACGGATCTTCAGCCTTTCACCTCGAGAAATCCTCACAGCCTCTGGGAGCTGGTCCTCTTCCCCTCTCGGAGCTGGTCCTCAGGGCTGTGCCAGTAGGCGGAGATGTCGAGCTCGAAGAGCTTGATATGCAGCAGAAACGATGAGAGAAACTTGCTTTCTATCTCGAGCGGTCCCCCTGAGCTTCGGACCGATGAATCAAAATCACCAAAAAGGGCCTCTTGGCCCGGCTATAAGCCGGACGGCTACGGACAGTAAAACAGAGCACGTGCGGGTGGTTGCACATGGGTTCGAGAGCTCCGTGGACCCGAACAGGACGGAAACGGGGTCTGGAGCTCTGGTCACCAAGAACCCTAGAAATCTATCTGAGATTCACACACCCCCATCGTCCTTCCATCATCGTCCTCCAATTGTCGTCCACCCCTCATCGGCCTCCATCATCGTCCTCCCATTGTCGTCCATCATCATCATCATCCTCCCCCTCCTCCCCCCCCTCCCCCTCATCGTCCTCCTCCTCCCCCTCCTCGTCCTCCTGCTGCTCCTCCTCCTCATCTTTCTCCCCATTCTCCTTACATCCTCTCTTTTTTCGCGTCCTCCTCGTCCCCTGTTTACTCCTCCTGCCTCCCCCTCCTTCCCCAAGATAACGGCAACGCAATCTTTTTTTCCCACTTTATGCTCCCCGGCTTCTCTGATCAAGGCAACTCGCCAGGGCATTGCTGGACGGGCTGGTGTGGATGCGCGGGGCTTGAAGAGGTCGTTGCGGGCGCAGACGGCATGCAAAAATCCGCCGCCGCGCTTGTGCGGCATTGGTTTGTTCAGTGGACGTGGTTTGGGTCGCGGGTGGGTCGCGGGGTCTCCACCTCCACCTGGAAGGAATGCAAAAGCAGCCCGCCGCAGGCGCCCCCAAAAATGGTTTGTACACTGAACGTGGTTTGGGTCGCGGGTGGGCCGCGGGTTCTCCACCGGGGACGCATGCAAAGATGCCCGCCGCAGGCGCCGAAACATTTGGTATGTACCCTGATCGTGGTCGCGGGTGGGCCGCGGGCTTTCCACCTGAAACGAATGCACAAGATGCCCGCCGCAGGCGCCGAAAAATGTGGTTTGTACCCTGAACGTGGTTTGGGTCGCGGGTTGGTCGCGAGTTGGTCGCGGGGTGGGTCACGGGTTCTCCACCTGGAAAAAATGCAAAAAAAAGGCCGCAGGCGCCGAAAATGGTGGTTTGTACCTTGAACGTGGTTTGGGCCGAAGGTGGGTCGCGGGTGGGTCGCGGGGTGGGTCGCGGTGGGTCGCGGGTGGGTCGCGGGTGGGTCGCGGGCGGGTCGCGGGTGGGTCGCGGGGTGGGTCGCGGTGGGTCGCGGGTGGGTCGCGGGGTGGGTCGCGGGGTGGGTCGCGGGTGGGTCGCGGGGTGGGTCGCGGGGTGGGTCGCGGGTGGGTCGCGGGTGGGTCGCGGGTGGGTCGCGGGTGGGTCGCGGGGTGGGTCGCGGGGTGGGTCGCGGGTGGGTCGCGGGGCGGGCTGCGGGTGGGACGACGACAACAAACTACAACAAACAACAACAAGCAACAAACAACAACAAACAACAACAACGAGAATCCGCACCGCGAAATCCCACTTCAGCCACGCACCCAGGGACAGTGAATGACCGTTCGGCCCCTTCAATCTGATTTGTCGCTCGTTTGGGGCATTTTCAGACTACGTTTCATTTTTCTGCCAAAATCCGCCTGCCCGACCTAAGCCCAGTTTTCTCCACGCGGAAGTCGCCGCTGCATCGGCGAGGCATCGGCGATGCGACGGGATCCTCCGACCCCATCCATTGGGATCCCATCTGGCAGGCCTCTGGTTGCGTGACGGCCCTGGGGCCAGGAAGCGGCCGAAAGCGACGACCCGATCTTTGTCCCTGCGCGGTCCCTTGAAGTCCCCACACATTGCCCACGGCCGGGTTCTCACCCCGAGCGGTTGTTTCACGGCCATGTCGGCCGGGCAAGGACCCCAGGAGGCCGAGAAGTGATGAGACCTTGCATCGTGCTGTTGTCAGGGCGCGAGCTTGTTGGGGTACACCGCCTGGATCTGAGGGGAGCCCGCGGATACTGGGCGTGTTTTCGCGGATGCCCCGCGCGAGCACGCTCAAGTATCCGCGCGACCGCGTATCCCCGGGGTCGCGCCCCTGATGATGGGTTTGTTTTCCACCCCCACCACCATAGAGGGGGAGAGGAGGAGGAGGAGGAGGAGGAGGAGGAGGAGGAGGACGAGGACGAGGACGAGGACGAGGACGAGGACGAGGAGGACGAGGAGGACGAGGAGGACGAGGAGGACGAGGAGGACGAGGAGGAAGGTGAGCAGGAGGAGGAGGAGGAGGAGGGAGGAGGAGGAGGAGGAGGAGGAGGAGGAGGAGGAGGAGGAGGACCCCCTCCCCCTCCAACTTTTGGTGGTGGTGGCGGTGGAAAACAGGCCAATCACCAGAATCCAGACCGCCGGAGCGTACGCTCGCCGCTCGTGATCTGCAGGGAGCCGAGGGGCGGCGGAAGCCGCTGAAACCCTCCCCATCCCCGGCTGCAGAGGGCCAGTTCGGCTACGCCGGGCGTCGGGCT